CTCCTAATGTTATTGTTCCCCATGTACATCTATCTGCAGTTTCATTGAACCTGAGCTATGGGGTGAGTTCATTTTCAAAGTCATATTCACAGGGAGTTTGCAGATCTTTATCTGACCAGTACATCTTATGTTTTTATGATTTTTATTTTTATTTTACTTGTTTTTCCCCCTCAACAGGGACCTTCTAATGTAACTTTTTTAGAGTAGGTAGTGATAGCCAGGGCCCACCTAAGTTAGTTCTTCTGACCTCAGGGTTGTAGATACTTATGCTTATGTGGATCAATAAACCACTGTACTAATTGTTTCCATTGCCTTCAAATATCTTTATCCTTTTTACCTTTCAACAGGGAGGACTTGTTGCACCTCAGAGGCATTTTCAGAAGCCTTTAACACCCCAGTTATTACCAAAGTAGGATGTAGAGCGTGGTCTTTGTGAACTATGTTACTCTAATTGAACTTGGTGTCTCCCAAGTCCATGGTTCTGAGCTCTTTCACCAGGGACTCGTTTCCTTAAGTTATTTTATTCTTCCTAAGATGTTTTCATAACTTTGTTGCCTGTATGCTTCACCATATTTATGGGTATACTTGGAGCAAAGGTAAATACACACAAATAGCCTCAAACGTATCTATATATTCGTGAATATAGTTCAAACCTTTCACAGCTGTTCAGCCTCTATTTTGATACGTGCATCATAGAACATTATCTCGGGATTTTATATATAAAAGTACTACTTGTGTTGCCTTTAACCCTTTAACTTCCCCCCATATTTTCCCCTGCTGCTCTCGTGTTTGCTTACCTTCCTTGTATTGTATATTTTCCTTCATATATCAACACAGTAAAATGATGCAACTGTTGTGGAAAATGGTATAATGCAGCAGTTTTCAACCTGTGGTTCACAACCACTAAGAGGGTCAATCGACCCTGTCACAGGGGTCACCTAAGAACATTGGAAAACACATAAATATTTCACAACATACAATTACATGTTGTTTTGTGACCCATCGCATGCTTTAATTATGTCCAGTTTGTAACAATTAAAATACATCCTGTGCATCAGATATTTACATTATGATTCATAACAGTAGCAAAATTACAGTTATGAAGTAGCAATGAAAATAATTTTATGATTGGGTGTCACCACAACATGAGGAACTGTGTTAAAGAATCACAGCATCAGGAGGGTGAGAACCACTGGTATAATGCATTGTTAAAAATGTGGACATAGAAATACATTATGTTCAGGAAAACCTTCTCCTTGGTAGATATACTAGAAAAATAAGTCGATGACACAAATAGTTGATAAACACACTGCAGTGTAGTGCCGCACTTTTCACAAGGGCAAAACTGTAGGAAAATGCCTATCAGTGGAAGAATGAATAAATAGACTATGGTGCATAGCCACAATGGACTGCTACACAACATTAAAGAATAATGATGCATCACAATATCTCATAAAATTGATGAAACTGGAGGCCAGTAAGTTAAATAAAATAAGTAAATCACAAAAATCTTAAATATTCTATGAGACTAATATTATAAAAGTAAAGAAAAGATTTTCACATTAAAAGAAGCATATTATTTACGCTCCCCAAGGGTGGAGGCTGGAGGGTGACTATAGGCAGATGCATGGAAGTAGTCTTCCTTTCAGTTGATGCTGAAAATTTGTTTTTTTCTCTCCTGGGAAGTATTGCTAAATTGTTTGCCACATTTGATGCAAGTCCACAGCTTCTCTCTGCACTTTTAAAATTTGTAGCATTTGTTCTAACAGATACTGCTCTTTAGCCAGTCAGGTTTATTACTTTTAGTGATATTTATTAATCTGTACCATGCTGTATTAAAATATGTAGCATGCACCACAGAATTACAGGGCTTATTGATCTGCAAAGGAACCCTGGTAGGCTGCTACATGGAAGGGTAGCCATTGGGTCCCAATAGCCATTCTGTGGGAGAAGAATGGGACAGCGTCAACTGAAAACAACAGTTTTCAGCATCAACTGAATGGAAGCCAACTTCTGTGACAAGTTACAGCTTTGGAGACTCTATGGGACAGTACCACACCGCCCTATGGGGTCATAATGAAGTCAGGCAGCTAGCCCGTAACATGAAGCAGGTTCACAAGGTTTATTGATCTGTTTCATAGCTTGTGTGACTCTGTACTGACATGTTGTTTTCAGAGACATGGGTGAGATTCCCTGGAGCAAAGAGTTCCAGAGTCATGTCATAAGTGTGAATGATAAAGCCCACTGCCACTGAATGGGTTCAGGCACACAGAAACCTCAGAGCAAAGAAGGCTGCCCTTCGGGAGTCTCCCGGGCTGTCAGTCTGCCCGGAAGCAGGTTGCCACATCTTTCTTCCTTGGACTGAATGATAGGTTCCAACCACTGACCTTTGAGTGCTTTTAAGCACTGAATCACCAGCGTTCCTTTACAGATTCTCCTAAAGCCAAATACACGGCTGCCAACTATATGTTCAATTCCTAAATAAAAAAAATCTAAAGTCACTGCTGTTCAGTTTATTTGAGCGCCTAACAACACAACCCACTGTCACCAGTGAATTCAGATTCATAGGACCCGATACAGGGTTTCTGAGGCTATAAATCATTAAGGACATGAGAAATAGTCAGTGGATTTGAACTGTCATTTATGTGATTAGCAGTCTAACCCTTATCCAAAAGAATAATAAGGGTTCCTTTTATAGCAACAAAAGTCATTCTGAGTCATAGTTACCTTTAGGCAGGATAGAACTGCCCCATGGGTTTCCAAAGCTATACATCTTTATAGGAGGGACAAGCCGTACCTTTCCCCCATGGAGAGGACTTGTCTATTTCAACAATAGACCTTGGAGTTAGCAGCCCAGCATAACCCACTACACCACCAGTGTTCCTTCATAGCAAAAAGACCGCCTTAAATCTTATGACCTAATGACTCAGAAATGCTGAGGATGGGGCCCAGGATCTGTTTGAAACAAGTGCCCTGTAGTAGGCCGATGTTCCTAAATTTTGGAAGAACAATAGCCAAGAAATTAATTTTATCCTATAGAAGAGAATAGCTTTGTTGTTCTATCTAGAACCTTAGTTTTAGATATTGGGGAAAATCACAGCACTTCCTTATGCATTCGAAAAACTAGATGCTGAAAGCTTACGCAATTGGGTTATAAATCCATTTATTACATAAGCAGAGTTAAAAACATAGAATCTAAATTGTGAAATAAGGAATAATTATATGATGTCATCTGTTTGTAGAATCACTTATGTTTGTAGATCATTTGTCAAATCATTTAAGTAAAAATGTGTATTTATATTTAAAGTATCTCCCATGTTCAATGAATTCAGCTTTTTCTGATCATGTTACATTTAAATAATTGCAAATGTTGCTAATTGGAAAAAATCACTTAAATGTACTGGCTCTCATTTTTTAAAGTTATAAAGCAAATTAATCTCAATACAAATTTCTCGCATTAAAATCATGATTCAGTCATTCAAAAACTCAATAGCAGTGGCATTAGACTATTTGTTGTTGGGTGCCAACATGCTGGTTCCAACCCAAAGTGATTCAATCATAAGAAATCAAAGCACTGCCCAGCCCTGTGCCATCCTCACAATTGTTTTGCTGATTCCTTTGCTGCAGCCACGGTGTCGACCCATTTCCTTGATGGCCTTCCTATATTTCACTGCTGCTTTGTTTCCCCAACATGATACTCTTCTCCAAGGACTAATCTCCCCTGACAACATGAGCGAGTATGTGAGATGAAGTCTCACCATCCTTGCCTAGGAGCAGCACTCTGGCCATACTTCTTTCAAGACAGATTTATTTGGCCCTTTGGCAATCCATGGTAGTTTAAACATTTTTCTCCAGCACCACAGTTCAAACTCTCCCATTCAGCCTCCCACTTTCCTTACTCAACATCCAAATTTCATATGTGGTAATGTGGAAATTGACAATACCAGGGCTTGGGACAAGCGCACCTTAAGGCATCGAAGTAATATCTTTGCTTTTCAATACTGTGCAGTGGATTTACCCAATGCGATGCCTCTTTTGATCTCTTGACTGCTGCTTCCAGGATCATTGGTTGTGGATCCAAACAAGACAAAATCTTTGACAACCCCAACCTTTTCTCCATTGATCATGTTACCTATGGGTCCAGTTGTGAGGATTTTGGTCTTCGTTACATTGAGTTGTCATTCACAGTGAAGTCTGCGGTCCTTGATCTTCATCAGCAAGTACTTGAAGTCCTCTTCATTGTCGGCGAGCAAGCAAGGTCGTGTCATCTGCATATGGTACATTGCTAACAAACCTGCCCTTAATTCCAATGCCACATTCTCCATCATATAATCCAGTTTCTCTGATTATTTGCTCGGTATACAGATTGCACAAGTATGGTGAGAGGATATAACCCTGACCCACACCTTTCCTTATTTTAAATCATGCAGTATTCCCTTGTTTCTGTTTGTACAACTGCCTCTTGATCCAGGTACACATTCCACATAAGCACAATGAAGTGTTCTGGAATTCCGATTCTGCTGCAGATGATCTGTAGTATGTTCTGATGCACACAGTCAAAGCCTTAGAATGGTCAATAAAACACAAGTCAACATCTTTCTGGTATGCTCTGCTTTCAGCTAAGATCCAGCTGATGTATTTGGCCTTACATATAACACATATAACAAATTATTACAGCAATATTTTCAACTTAATGTAGCACATACCCTCCTGTAACTATTAAGGGGGTGACAGTGATGTGACTTCATGAAAACCTATTTAAGGAAATGCAAATAGGTTTTACTCCTTTGAAGCAAATTAAAAAATCCTTTTAGTGACCACTACCTCTTTGAACATGGCACTATTCAATCAAGCATGGAAATGTTCTCACTTTTGATAAGCCTCAGTAGTTAGAACCACTTCCCAGGTGAATTTATAAATGAAACGGTTCTCTGTTTCCTTCTTGCAAAACTTGAAAAGGAAGATCTATTGACTTTGTCCCCCCTAAGAAACCCTCTACCATGAAGATTCTTCTCTTGTTATTTATTCTACTCTTCTTTGAAATCACAGTTTTACCAGGTAACAAAAATATTTTAATATTAATAATTTAAAACTATAAATCACAAATAATTTATGAATTATTTGTATAGTTGAATTTGAAGAGACATGATGTAGTTCTCATTAAAAGTATGATAACAGTCTAGGTATTTAAAGGTCATGACACTCAGTGCAATGCAGTATTCGGGATTGGACTTTGAAAGATGAAAAGAACAATAATGGAAAAACTGGTGGGATGTGAGTTCAATTTATAGTGTTGTAAACAGTTTTGCACCAATGTTAGTTTATTAAATGCATCATGGTTATATAAAGTATTAACATTAAGGGATGATATGAAAATTCTCCATAGAACTCTTTATCGATATACCTCTTCTGTAAACCTAAAATTGTTATAAAATAAAATATTTTATAAAGATCATATAAACCTACTGTCTTCCAGTCAACTCCTAGCTGCCTGAGAGGACTGAGTAGAACTGCCCTATAGACTTTCCAAAGTGGTAATCTTTATGGAGGCAGACTGCAAAATATTTCCCCATTGCTTTTACCCAGAGCAATGATTTAAAATCTTCTCATTGGAGGTTATACTGTGCTACAAAAAAAAATTGCTTACCACCAGCTACAGGTAAAAGACCCCATTTTAGAGTGAACTCTTTTTCCTTCTCATTAGCCGGTTTATGAAATAGAACACTTGCCACTGTAGGAATGTGTTCTCAGTATCTGTATTAGTACTGCAGGAAAACCATGCCTATTGATGATCTTTGTTTAAGTATGTCTGTCTTTGAGTGCTACAGATCACATGAATAGTGAATCTTATACATAAACTATATTTTTGGTGAGATTCCTCACCCCCGCCCCAAGAATTATGCCTTCACACCAGATATGTGACAAGAGTCTCTTATCCTGAATTAATGGGTAAGTATAAATTGTACAGAGTTATAATACTAAAAATTAGATATAGATTACTCTGTTCAGACCCTTATCCTTAAAGAACTTGAGGTCAAATGACTACCTCAAGTCCACCCACTTTATTAAAATGCACTTACATCCTGATAATTATTCTTTTCAGTATTTGGCTGATTTCTTTTGGACATAAAAAGATAGGTCCAACAGAAACCATGGTAAAATCCTATGAGGATAAATTAGCTTATTCTCTCATTATGAATAAGACAGAAGCTCCTTATGAACCCCTAAAAATTCACACATTATGAAAGCACAGATTTTCATTTAAAGGCTGAAAGTGGACAAAATTCTTTTTAAAAGCCAAACTTCAGTGAAGTGACACTAATACAATTAATTTAACTATGAGAAAGCCTTTCTTTCCATTCATTGAAAAATTGTTACATAAGGGTCTCTAGATTTTTGTCCAGTTCTAGACATGATCAAAAAGCAGTGCTATACATGTATTAAATTGTTTCATTTTTCAAAACAATGAATATTATAGATAACCAGGCTAAGTGATTGTTCCATATTCACTTAATTTTTTCTTGTAACAATATTAGGTAAAACTAGCAATATCTAATGATTCCTTTCATGCACCCTTTTTAGAAACTTAAAAACCCATGCCCCATAAAGATAGAAACTATGTCATTCCAAAAATACAAAAACACAAAATAAAGAAATCTTGTTTTTGACATATATATGTATTATATTTTCTAAGTGAGGACATTGTCTTTTATTGATTTGTTTATTTATTTTACTCAAAAAAGGGACCAAATTTACAAAAGGCTTTGTTTCCTCTTAATACCAAAATAAAAGAAATATATAAAAGTCCACATTTCTCCCAAAGAATTAGAAAAGTTGATATACGAATAAAATAAATTCAAGGTAATAATGTAATTGAAATATTTCTTTCACAGTATAGATCACCAGCACCAGGTGGTTGAACTACACTGAGTTGAAAGAACTTTCGCATGTATGCCTCTCCTTCAGTTCTTCAGGTGTTTTTATCCTTTACCTTCAGCTTGCTAGGTGGTGAAGTTCCTACTCTAAAAGGAGGTAGCAAAACTCATTTTATTTCACTTGCATATGAAACTATCTAGATAAAAGTCCCTAACATTTCTAGGTAGGGAAATCTCCCTTCAAATACATTCATTTCCTATTCCTTTTCTATCAGTTGCATATGCCAAGGATGCCTATAAATGAGTCATGGCACCCTCTTCCCTTCCCGTCCACTTTCTCTGCCACATGGGGAAAGGAGCTCACGAAGGTTTGTGTCCACCAGTACAGGGATTCATGGGGTCAATCCTCCCATGCGCACACCCAGGGACTTCTTAGCATAGCATACCAAGTTTGTAATAATATGTATTATCAATTTTGATCATAGAATACTATGTAGACATTACAATTGTAAGTTCTAAAATGTAACTTCCTAGATTATGTGAATAAACTCAAACCAAACCAAACCAAACTCACCGCCATCGAAAAAACCCCTAGAACCCCTGTAGGATAAGGTAAGATGGTCCCTTATGAGTTTGTGAGACTATCATTTTTCACAGGAGTAGAATGGCCAGTTTTTCTCCCATTGTGTAACTGGTAGTTTCAGACTGGTAGTATTGAAATACAATGTAATGCCATAGTGGAGAACTACATCAGGGGATATTTTAATAAAAATGATAAATATAATAGTATTTTTCTGCTGAATCATTACACAAAACTTTATGGACAATCATTTGGTATCATCCACTACTGACAGTGTAACCTGTGTTGGTTGACTGCCTCTGCTCCCACCACTTCTAGTGACTCAAATCAGGTGTGAAAAATGATTTAGTGACAATAGTAATTTTTCTTCTAATCGGATGTGCACTTTGGACAGTACAGTTTTCTGCTAAAAGGCTAAGGAGCTGCTAGTGATTATAGATAAAGCTGCATATGAGAAAATATTACATGAAATTGTGCCCTTAAAGATTTATTTTATGAAATGTCTTCCAAGTTATAGATTGATGTATTATTTGGATACATTATCTAGCACATTAGAATGTTACAGATGTTAGGTGAATGATACATATGAAGTACTAGGAGAGAACAATGAAAGAGGGAATACTTTCCAGAAAGAGGTTAGCAGAAGACTTTAGAGAGAATGTAGTATTTGAATATGTTATCTGGGAACAGGAATCAGACAATATATTGTGCTTATCAAAGTAACCGAGGCAGTGGTTCTCAATGTGAGGCAATTTTGCTCCCCAGTGGACATTATATAATATCTATGGACATTTTCAGTATTCACAACTAGGTGCTACTAGCATTTATAATTCAGTGGACAGATGGCAGAGATGCTGCTAGCCCACAATGAGAATTGTCTCTCCTAAAGTACCAAAGGTGCTAAAGTTAAGAAGCTTATCCTAGTGCTTGACAGAGAACTTGACAGGGTGTAAACATTACATACTAGTTAAGTGCATGCATACAAAGAGTAATATTGGAAAGTACTCACGTATAGCAGTCAGAATGAGAAGAAAGTAAACAAAAATATGTATAGAAAGGAAATAAGCAAGAGTCAGAGAAGATGTGAAGCCAGGACATGGAGGAATATTGGACAGAAGTGCTGAATGTCACAGAGCCCTTAGGTAAAGTGGGTTTCCCTGCAATTTCTGTGACTGGGGAGTCACAAATGACTTGAGTAATATTAACTCCCCAGGGATTATTGAATGTGTTGCTGGAAATGTGACCAAAGTGCCTAGGTGGAAGATCTGACCTTTAAAAGTACTGATTGAGATATCAAGTCCCAAATGGCAGAAACCAAGGGCAGAATGTGTTTGAATACATACCACAGTATATGAAAATATCCAAGTCTGTCCGTTGGGTAGGACCATGTAAAAATTGTTTAAAATTCACTTCCCAAACATCAACAACTCATTGTAGCCAAATCGATTCTGACCCAAAGTGACCCTCTAAGACACAGTCGACCTGCCCTATGGGGTTCCAGCAGCTGTCATCTTTATGGAGGTTTTATCCTCTGAAAAATCTGCCATTGTTTTCTCCTGCAGACTGGCCGGTGGGTCTTAACCACTCACCTTTTGGTGAGCAACTAAGTACTTAACCATTACGTCACCACTTACCCTTTATTCTTAATTTCACCACACCATAGGCAAGGTGTATCCAAAAATGATTCCAAAACAAAGAACACTGAAAACATATGGGACAGAATAGAATGGGGACTTTTTAACAATTAATTGTTCAATTTAAAGAAGTTTTTAACTTCTATCAAACGATCTCCTTTTCCTCAAGTATTCCTAGCCCTCCTAGACAATAAACTTTCCGTGGAAGTGATTATTTATGGTACAAGGCAAATCATATGATGCTTCCAACGTGCCTGTCATGAGATCATACCTTCTTGTATTATGCTAAAATTTGTCTTTCTTACAATGTGTAAACCATAGTTGTGGTTTTGTTCTTCTGTAAATGTAAAAACCAATGCCTCATTCTACAAGATAACCTTTCCAATAATGTCAGAATAAGCTCAGGAACCGGGCTACTAATTCCTTATTGATTCCATGATTTGGTTGACAAATGTATTAGAAGCAGAGGTCATTTCTTTTACTAGACATGAAGACAGTAAATATTTTCTGCATTACAAGCCATGATATGCCAATTATGTCACTGTAGTGTAAACACAATATATAAAGTAGTGGTGTGGCTGTATGCAAATAAACCTTTATTTACAAAAGTAGATGGATGCTTGGCCGTGATTTTCAGACCACCTAATCAAGTGGATTAACAGTACAAATAGAGATTGTGAGAAATTAATTTTAGCTTAATTGGTTCAGAAACTTTGATGTGAAATCTGAGAGGTAGTAACAGACATTTTAAAAGTCATGGAATGGACAACAATGGTCAGACCTGTAGTCAACTTATGTTATTATATCATACTATCACTACACATTTAAAATAGAGTCCCTTTGAGGTGAAATTCCCAAAATATCCACAAGAACTGTGAGAGTTCAGGAAAATTGCCTGATATTTATTTCTAAACATTTTAGAAAAGTAAATCCAAGCAGAAATGGAAATCAAAGAATGAGTATCTGAAATATGTAACAAATAACATTTTAGAGCAAAAAAATGTTGCTCAAACGCATATTGATGATACCAGAAACTGCCGGACCGAAGACAAATTATGAACACTTTCCTGTTGTTGACTATAATATTCATCCATATGTCAGTGTGCAATGACTTGTAGGAATCAAAGTGATATCCTCTCAATACTTTCTAATCTCCCAGGAAGTTCAATTTACCAAAGGACCAAACTCACTGTCATTGAATAAATTCATTTAAACTTTAGCCAGTAAATGAAGATATTCACAATCATAAATTAGGAAGGGGACTTTGTTTTGGGACCCACCCTATTATCTTTCTCGTCATGGCCTCTCCCCTTTCCAAATCTGGGTATGTTTTATCTAGATTGCTAATTCTAGCCATTCTTTCCTTCTTACAGCCAAAAAGAAATACCCCCAGTATGGTAGCTTGGATTTAAGGAGAGAGTGCAGAGAGGGCAATGGTCGATGTAAACTTGTATGCCATGAAAATGAAGTTAGAATTGCTTACTGCATCAGACCTGCAACTCACTGCTGCTTACAGAAGTAAGGATACCAGAAGAAAAGAGAGAGATACATGCTCAAAGAAAGAGGACCCATGTTACCAGGACTTCTCTGCACATCCTTCAAAGCCCGTGTCTCTCTGTGATACATAAAAAAAAATCAATAAAATTTAATATTGTGCCTTGAGCCACTATGAGGTGGTTTTATGGTACATACACTTACAAAAAACTTGTGCCTTTCTATTGCATTTTCTTTATCAATTTCTTTGTGCCAGAAAGAATACATTCTAAGGCAGTTCCTCAAGAAGCTCTCTATCTGCCTTATTTAATTAAAATAAGTCACTTTGTGGAAAACCATAGGTCACAGAAAGCGAGACACATAACTTTCATGTACAAGCCCCAATAGAAATGTTCTCATATGCCCCACTCCACTCCTACTGTTTCTCCTATTATTATTAACAGCTTACATTCAGGCAGTCCATTTGTTTCAATTAATAAACCAGCATTGTTCTGTTGTCAGTTGTTCTACAGTCTGTTCCGACTCACAGTAACCCAATGTACAGCAGAAGGAAAGACTGCCCCGTCCACATCATCTTCGTCGTGATTTATTGTTACAGCCATGGTGCATTGGCAAAACCAATATCAATGTCATTGTTTTGAACATTTTTAAGACGGTAGTGTATATCAAGTTTCACTCTCTGTTGTACATTTCTATGTTTTGAAAAATGCATAAAATCATGTGTTCACCTTTGAAATATTATGTAGAATAAGTTCACTGCCCTAAAATGCCCTATACACTACTTATTTCTTGTTCACCTCTCTTTCCATAGACTTCAACAATCACTGAGATTTTTGCTTTCTCTGTAATTTTTTATTTCCAGAAATGACTTAAATGTGGAATCAAGCAATATGTAACTATTTCAGATTGGCTTATTTCACTTCACAGTATGCATTTATCTTCCTTTATTGCTTTCTAGAAAGTCCTGGTAGAAAGTGGTGAAAGCCCTCGGTTGCTCTGAGGGAGAAATACGTGGCAACGGTCTTCTGTACAGATTTACAAATTTGGAAACCCTCTGGGGAAACTCTATGCTGTCTTGTAGGGTCACTTTGAGCCAGAATCTACTCAATGGCAGTGTTTTTTACTTGCTGCCATTAATATCATTAATATTCCATTGTATAGATATAAAAGTGTTTATCTATTCATCTATTGATAGACATCTTGGTCATTGCCAGTTTTTGTTATGTATATCATACAAAGCTGGAAAACCTGCGCTGAGATGGATTGAAACAAAGGCTGAAGCCACGGGCTCAAGCAGTGTTCTCTTCTATTGTACATAAGGCCACTATGAGTCAAAGCTGTGTTGACAACAGCAGCAACATCATGTACGTGTTGTTATGAAAATACACCTTGCAAATCAGCTTCGCTAATACCTAGTAGCGTGAGATAGCAAGCCTCTGATTAGCTTGGTGCACAGTGGTTTGGGCAGTGGGTTGCTAACCTAAGGTGCGTAGTTCCAATCCACTAGGGCCTTTAAGTGAGAGATCATGCTCTCCGCTCCCTTAATAAAAGATTTGCAGTCCCAGAGCCCTATGGAGCGTTCGCTCTCCTACAGGATCTCTATGATTCAGAATTGATTGAAAGCACCAGGTAGTTGTTTTTATCAGTAGGTTGGAAAGGAGGATGGTGAGACGTCATCTTTTTACTCACTTTGGGAATGTTATCAGGAGGGACGAATACCTGGTAAAGACATTTTTCTAGGCTAAGTAGAGGTTTAGGTGGTCGGGGGTGGGGGAGGGAGAGGAAGACCATAAATAAGCTACATAGACATAATGACTACAATAATAAACTCAAAGACAGCAGCAATAATGAGGGTGGTACAGGACCAAGAGACATTTCCTTCTGCTGTACAAAGGATCACCATGATCCCGACAAACTCAAGTGCACCTTAAAACAACAACAACAACATTGGCTTTTTAAGAAGCTGCCATTATATTTTCCAAACTGACTAGACCATTTTGCATTCTCACCAACAGTGAATCGGAGTTACTATTTCTCCATTCTCTGGTCAGTATTTGCTATGGTCAGTGTTCTGGGTGTTAGCTGTTCTATTAGGTGTTTAGTGAGTGGTATCTAATTGTTTTGATTTGTATTTTTCGAATGACATATGACACTGAACATATTTTCACGTGCTTATTTTCCATCTTTATATCTTAATCTGATATACTATATATTGAGATTCTGTCAGCATTTGTATAGTTCATTAATTGTTGAATTTAGCAATTCATTATATATTTTGGACATGAGCCCTTTATCAGATATATAGTTTGGCGATTATCTTTCCCAGTCTTTGTCCTGTTAATTTATTCTCTTCTTCAGAGCAAAAAATATATAGCTAATTTTGATGAGATCTACTTTATCTATTTTTCCATTTTTGTGGGTCAAATATGTTTTTAATAAAAGAAGACACTTAATATGATTTTACTTAGTAAATGCACACTCTCTCCAGTCTAATCTTAAAAAAAACTCTCCCAAAGACCATTTTCTTACCTTTCGAGCTACTGTCATCTCTCTTTTACTTTCGTCAAGTTTCTCCTGACACCGAGAGTCATCATCTCCAACCCATCCACTGTGGCACCCGGCCTTCGTTTACTGAAATTCCTTTGACGAGCTGCTGTACTTCCTGCACTGAGACTGAACCAATGTGTATTATAATACTTTCTTGATCGATTTTCTAGTGAAGCCTTACTTTGATAACTGATATGTCCACATTTATTGACATTTCTGGTTTTGATAGTCTCTTAAATATCATCAGTCCTCACTGCTGTGTCTCCTTTTTTTTTTTTTCCTCATGCCCTCTGTTTTTTTAAATTATATGCTTTCCGTAAATCATCTTGTTCTTTTTGGGCGTTTTTCATATCATCAGATATTGTTCTCACTCTCATTTCTAAACCACAGAGCTGTATTTTTTGCTATGGATGGATCTTACGTAACCTGGATAGTCCTTAATGTTAATATGTCCAAAGGAGAGCGCATCTTCTTCATGGTATCTAGATTCTGTTTCATCCCTTCAATTCTCAATTCCACTAGTTGTTGTGATCCCACCACACACACACACACACACACACACACACACACGCGGTCATCAAAATTAGATTGTTTGATATCACTCTCACTCTACTTCTTAGTCCTCTTCCTTACAGCCAAATATTTCAAAATTTGGCAGCTTCTAACTCAGATATATCCCCACATTTCCTTTTTTTTTTTTAGCAAGTCCTATTTCTTTCTCTTTCTTATTATTCCTAATTTAGATTATTGCAGAAAGTGTTCGTGAAGCTTCCCTGCTTAAATTGTTTTCTCTATCTCCTTTCTTAACAAGAAAATGATACTGAACACCTTTTTAATTTTCACCATTCTTTTTATAATTGATAAACCCCTGAGCTTTGTAACACCTCTGCACTGTGACCAATTTTACTTTTCTGTATTTTCTTCCATGATTTATCCCGTGTGAAACGATTTGAGTCATGTCAACATCTGTATCATGCTGTTTAGATCCCCGTTTCTTTCCAAACACCCTATCTGTACTCAGGCTACTTCCTTTGACTTGAAGGTTGCGCCATTCCTGCTCAATTTCTTGGAAATATGATGGTAACGCTCATCTTTACCTAAAGTAGGACATAAAGTACATTTACCAAGTGCCTTTACATAAAGATATTTACCAAGGATGACGTGTAATTCAGAGATCTCCCATTGAAGCCAGCCGAAGAAGACGTTCCCTAAAACCTGCCCCCAACTCCTCTCCACCATGGCTTTTCTGTTGTGAGGGGTGGGAGAACGTGGCTGCAGGGAAGCTTCTTGGTAGTTGATGAAGGAATGTCTAAGTTGCAGTGGTGGTGCAGTGGTTAAGTGCCCAGCTGCCAACAAAAAGTTCCATGGTTCAAACCCATCAGCCACTTCAAAGAAAAGAGATCCAAGAGTTTGTTTTAATAAAAATGACAGCCTTGTAACGATAGGGCAGTTCTACTTTGTCTTTAATAGTCACAAAGAGTCAAATCTATTTGATAAACATAATAGCTAAATGGATTATGATGACTGGCAGCTGTTTTTTGCATGCATAACTATAGTGATTTTTAGTGACTAATAGCTATAGTTAATAATAACTAATAACTATCCATTAAGCTATCAATTCAGTATTAAGTACCTACAATTAACTACGAACCAAGCAATAGTAGTTACAATTCGCAGGGACCCTTAGGTATCACAGGAGGAAACACAGCCCTTCCCTGCCCCCTCCTCATGACTGCAGCTGTTTGAGCCCATTGTCGGCGGTCACCGTGTCAATCTCTTTTCTTGAGCATCTTTCTCTTCTCCGGTGATTTTCTATGTGACCAACCATGATATCTTTTCCCAGAGACTGGTCTCTTGTGAGAAGCTCTCCAAAGTACATCAGATGAAGTCTCACTTCCCTTGCTTCTAAGGAGTGTTCTGCCTGTACTTCTTCCAATACTGATTTATTTGTTCTTTTCACAGTCTGTGGTACTTTCAATAGCCTTCACCAAAATTGTGGTTCAAATGTATGAATGCTTCTTTGGTCTTCTTTATACATTGTCCAACATTCACATGCCTATGAGGTGGTTGCACATACTATGGCATAGGTAAGGCATATTTTAGTTTTCAAAGTAATAATCTTACTCTTCAATATTTTAAAGAGAGCTTATGCAGCAGATGTGCCCAATCCAATATGTCATTGGATTTCTTGACAGCTATTTCCTTAAGCACTGATTGTAGATCCAAGAAAAATGAAATTTGAAATAACTTAAATTTTTATTCTACTACTATGAAGCTACATATTGGTTCAGTTTGGGGTATTTTCTTTTCTTTACATTGAGCTGTAATTCGCACTGAAGGTTGCAATCCTTTAGTGTTTCAAGTCCACCCTGATTTCATCAAGCAAGGTTGTGTTATTTACATATTGCTGGTTGTTAGTAAGCCTTCCTCCAAATCTGATGCCACATTCTGCTTCATATAGTCTATTTGAAAATTCTTTGTCCTGCATATAAATTAGATACATATTTTGAAATGATACAATGCTAACACGGTTTTCCTTTCTGATTTTAAAGAAAGCAGTATTCAGTATTCCTTTGTTCTGTTCTAATGATCACCTCCCAGCCCATGAACAAGTCCCACATGGACTCAGTGAAATGTTGTGGAATTTCCATTCTTCTCAATGCTACCCATAGCATGATATGATACACATAGTCAAATGTATTTCATAGTTAATAAGACACAAGTAAACATAATAAAATTCCTGACAGAGTAGATCTGCTCCTTAGGGTTTCTGATACTGTAAATCTTTACAGAGCACACAGCTTCATCTTTCTGCCTAAGAATAATTCAGGGGTTTGAACTGCTCACCTTGCAGTATGTGGCTCAATATGTAGGGCTCAATATGTAGCCCATACTGCCACCACAGCCCCTTCCCTCTCAAACTCTCACTGCCGTCATTTCCATTCTGACTCATCGTCATCTTATAGACCTGTCATTGTGACTTTCTCAGACTGCAACTCTTTGTGGGAATAGAAAGCCTCATCATCCTTCCAGGGAGAAGTTGGTAGTTTTGAACTTCTGACATTGCCGATAACATCGCAACACTACCCGCTACTCCATGAGGTATCCTTTCCCCTTCACTTAGTGCTTGATAAAATCTCTTCCCAGAAATAGCTAAGAACCAACAATCTTCTTCCATATGGCCCACACTGTTTTACTCCAGGGACCAACAATAGGAAGAATCTACCTAATTGTGAGGACCCTTGGTGGCACAGTGGTTATGAGTTGGGCTACAATCCTCATGGTACACAGTTTGAAACCACCAGCCACTCTTTGAGAGGAGAAGGCTTTCTACTGCTGAAGTATTTACAATGCCAGAAACTCACAAGAGTGATTCTCCCCTATCTTAGAAGGTCATTATGTGTCTGCATTGATTGGCTGGCAGTGCGTTTGAGTTTTTGAATTGATCTAGTTATGAAACTTTACTACTTTTCTATGTAGTTACTCACTTTTTTTTAACTTTTATGCCATTTCCTCCTATGTAGCAACAACAAAAGGAAAATAAGAGATTCCCTGATATTTATTTTTCGATTGGAAAGGTTTTATTATTTCTGTTATTGGTTTTGCCTGCTTATTCTGTCACTTGAACCTCAAATCCAAGAGTTTAGAGTTCAACAGTTAACAATGTAGCTGTTAACCGCATACATTTTTCCTTAGTTGCTTTAGCTTCTTAGTTATTCTTTCAAAAGTCCTTTTGAATTTAAAGTTAATTCAAGTGACATAATAAAGGTAGTATACCCATTAGTCTTCTCTAGTTTTGTACATTTCTTAGTTTAATGGCTAGAGAATTCTAAGTATTAAAATAAATTATTGCCTTGGTGAGTTAGAATAAAATACTTTTCAAAACCACAATTAAATTATATGCTAACAATTAGATTCTAGTTCCTAATGTTTCATATCTGTATCTAAATAAAAATTCTTCCCAAAATTTTAGTTAAATTAATTTTATTAAGTTTTCTTTCATACAGATATACTTTATATTAAAAATATATTGTGATAGGTATGTTTTTGTATTCCACCTTGTTGCGAGTGGGCCATTTGCCCACAAGTAAGTCATGTGTTAAACTTTAAGAACAGAATAACTTCAGAGTCTCCTTTCAGTTGTAATAACAGCATGGCTGCAGTGCAATTCAAACAATTGAATAGTAAATCTTTAAGGATTTACTTCCTTAAAGTACAGTGTGAGGTCTGAATACAAAGTTGGGAATATGGAATCTCAAAATCACCATTTTTTCATTTCTTTACATGAATTAAAATAAATCATATTAATTTATGACTCACCTTTTGCGTAAACACTTAAATGTATAACCCAAATATGTTTCTTTGTAGACACATCTAAAGTGGTTCTTCAATAACTCTGTCAGAAAGTATTTACATGTCTACTGTGTTCTAGTTATTAAGCTATATTTTGGAATCTACTCAATAGCAATTAACATCAATGTAAAGAATCAAACGAAACCAAAATTATTATATAGAGGCTTATATTATGGGTTCAAGAATAAAAATTATATATTATATATTATTAAACCAAATACAATTTAATGCTAAACTATGCTATGTTCATTTATTCTGTACGCTGAGGACATGGGAGATGTCCAATATAATAAATGAATGTTTTGGTTGCCATGCAACTAAGTGTAAGATCTACAATCAAGAAAAAGATTTGGATCAGTCATACTTTAAAAAGACAAAAAGCATAGGTTGATATTTTTTAGAGACCATGAAATGTAGATTTTTTAAGAGCTATATATTTTATCTTAATCAAAGCATGAGAAAGGAAGCTTTGTCTTAATGAATTGTGAAAAACAGCCAGGCAAGTATCCTTGGGAGGCAATGCAAGGTAAGGTCATGCAAATTTTGTGCAAGTGAAATGCTTGCAAATTGTCGCTGTCTACTGATAAGGTTTGCTTCTACCACCCATCATCTCATAACTAGAATAGATTTTATTTTCCCTTAGCATTCGGGAAATTAATAACAGATTGGTGATTTTAGATGTCTTTCTTACTTACAGCCCGAAGTGAATTCTTTCAACCAAAATATAGATTTGAGAGATGTCAAAAGGTGAAAGGAATTTGTAAAACATTTTGTGATGACATTGAGTATGATTATGGATACTGCATTAAGTGGAGAAATAAGTGCTGCATATAAACCCTGGAAAATAGAACTTCTCTGAGCATCAAAATCTGAAACAAAGGTTCATCGTAACCACTCAAGAATAGGTTTGAAAAAAAAGCATTGTTTAATGGAAATACATATTTGGAAATTCTTAAGATCACTTTTTAATGAATAAAAATATTTTCAATCTTCTGTCTAGTCAATAACTGCTTACCTTCATATTTCTGATGGATGAATGCATTAATAAAGGAAAAGATAATTCATTATACTTATTATCTCATTATTGCCACTGCACCATCCACACCTTTATGTTTCTTTGTGTTGCACATCTTCTTTGGATAAACATCTATAGATACTTTATGGCAACTTCAGTTTGAGGATCATAGTTATCATTATATATCCTTGTTTCCACATCAAAATATTTCTCTATGTGTATCTTTCCATGAGAGAAGATATGAGTTCCTCCAATGATGACTTTTCCAAAAATTTTTTTTCAAGAAAATAACCTTCACTGCTGCTTTTACTATGACACAAGTAGACTGATTTTCTTTCTCAGTAGAGCAAATAAATGCATTTGATGGTAGAGCAAAAGGATAAAGAACATTGTCTTAAGGAGAACTCATTTTTTTCATGCCATACTTTACTTAAAATAAATCACACAGGTAGGCTAAGTAATTACTCAACATAACACAGCAGGTAGGAGGACTAAAATGTGGCCATTTCAATGCTCTGCCCGCCAAAAAGATATCATATGAGGGATTTTTTAACTTAGGGGAAAAGGGATGAAAGTAAGACTTGAAGTGGGACATTTTGGGTAGCGAGTTGTAATTAGCTGATGGATTGAACTAAGCTAACTCTAGAAAACTGTCATTTTCAAAACCCATCGAGAAACCTAACATTTAGCTTTTTCTCAGAGGACAATGTTAGGGGTATTTTTATAAGTGATTTCAGTTTTCAGAAACGGTCCTTGTATGTCACAGCTGATATCAATATGCTTAACTTGGGTAATGCCATGATGAGCCTAGCAAAGACCGTGCGAATAACACGCACCAACACACATTTTGGTCCTTCAAATTTTAGACTTGTTTCTGCATATATTTCATCTGCTGATTCAAAAAAAATGGCACCAGCTCTAGTTTTTGAAGTGCAGAACATATGCCACATGCTGCTCTGCACTTTGCTCACCCAGAAATAAAAGATGAAGATATTTGAATGGACTGTTAGCAAGCCCGAGATACAGGAAGCACATGCTGGCTTTCTTAAAATGAATGTGAGGTGTACTATATTTGTAGGCCAGGTATACTCACACGGTGTCCTTAGATTCAGAGATGTCTTTGAACAGTGCAAATTACATGAACTTGGAACTTTCCACAAGAATCACTTCACCTTTATGAGGAATGGAATAGAAGGCAGTTCCAATTTATTCTTTTAAATGGGAGCCAGGAATAAGAATTATTTTGCAATAATAAGGAGCCTTAATGATGTAGTGGGTTACATGATTGATGGTGAACTACAAGGTCAGCTATTGAAGCCCACCAGCCTCTCTAAAAAATGATGGGTCTTTGTGGTCCCATAAAGATTTACAGCTCCAGAAATCCACAGGAGAACCTCCGTGCTGTGCTATACGGTCCTATGAGTCATAACTGACTGACTAGTAACGAGTTTGGAACAATAAACAGAGTTTTGAATGTTCCCAAACCCAAAATGAGTCCATCAAAGTTCAAACTCCTTTATTAAAATTAAAATGTTCTAGTCTTGCCATAAGATGACAGAACTTCTCCCCCTGTGCACAGAAGCTCTTAAAAAAAAAAAAAAGAATTTTTCTTACAGACGTGGAGTCATTCTTACCTCTGAAGCATCTAGCATACATAATCACTCCCTTAATCCTATTGTTGTTATACAGCAACAATTACAACATTTTCAACATGCTTGCAAAGGGCCCTAGCTGTTCAGCAGTTAGTGCTTGGTGACCATGAGAACAATGCTGTCGTAGTAGTTACGCCGTCTAGTCGGTTCTGACTCAGTGACCCTGTGCACAGCAGAAGAGAACAGTGACAGTTCTGTGTCACCTTCACAATTGTTAGGCTTAAACTCATTGTCACAGCTACTGCAGCAATCCACTTCATTGAAGATCTTCCTCTTTTTGTGCTGTCCTTTTACCTGGCCGGGGAGGATGCCCTTCTCCAGGGACTGGTCTCCCCTGAGAAGATTTGCAAAGCAGATGAGATGAAGTCTCTCCCATTCCTACTTCTAAGGAATGTTTTGCCTGTATTTCTTCCAAGACAGATTTGTGTATTCTTCTGGTAGTCCATGGTCTTTTCAATATTCATCACCAGCACCATGATTCAAAGGCATTCATTATTCTTTGGTCTTACATTGTCCAACTTGCACATGCAGGTGAAGCAATTGAACACGCCATGGCTTGGGCTAAATGGACCTTTGTCCGTGATGTGACATTTTTGTTCTTCATCACTTAAAAGAGGTCCTGCGCAGCTGATGTACTCAGTGGACTGCAGACTTTGATTTCTTGGCTGTTACTCCCATGAGAATTGATTGTTTTAGCCAAACAAGATGATATCCTTGACAACTTCATTTTTCCCCATTGTTTATTATGTTTATCACTGTTTATCATTACCGGAGAAGCAACAAAGCCCACATGGAAGAAGCACACCAGTCAGTCTGATCATGAGCTGTCGATGGGATCAGGTATCAGGCATCAAAGACCCAGAACAAACAATCATATCAATGTGAATGAGGGGGAGGGCAGAGTGGAAACCCAAAGCCCATCTGTAGACAATTGAACATCCCCTCACTGAAGGGTCACAAGGAAGAAACAAGACAGGGTGAAGCATAGCACCAACAAAACATACAACTTTCCTCCAGTTCTTTAATGCTTCCCCCCTCTAGTATCATAATCCCGGTTTTACCTTACAAATCCAACTAGACCGTAGCATATATACTGGTACAGATAAGCATTTGCAACACAGGGAATCCAGGACAGATAAACCCCTCAGGACCAATAATGAGAGTAGCGATACCAGGATGGGAAGGGGAAGGTGGGGGAGAAAAGGGGAATCAATCACAATGATCAACATATAACCCCCCACCACCTCCCAGGGGACAAACAACAGAAAAGTGGACAAAAGGAAACAGTGATCAGTGTAAGACATGAAAAAAATCATATTTTATAAATTGTCAATGGTTCATGAGGGTAGGAGGGAAAAACAATGAGGAACTGGTACCATATGTACAAATGTGCTTGACACAATATATATATATATGTATAGAATGTGATAAAAGCTGTAAGGGCCCCCAGTAAAATTATTTTTAAAAAAGAATAAAAGAACCAATGTGCATTCCCAGGAAGATGAAGAATATGTCAAGATATATAAGCAATTTCTTTCTGGAAAATATATGTCCATGGCTGCAATCATGTGTAAGTCCACTGACTGGTAACTCACTCCCTGCTAGTCAGTGGCTGACACTCACATGCCCAGGGACTTCAAACAGAATCTGATCTTACCTGTAGTCAACCATAGGGACTTCAAATAGAATCTGATCTTACCTGTAGTCAACCATAAGACCTCTACTTTACCTTTGTTCTCTATGCGTACCTTAATTCTTCGCTCCACTCGAATAATGGAGTGCCTTCTATTCTAACTTAGTACTGTTCAGATTTTCCTCAGTAAAACTTTTCTTTCACTCCAAACAAATATAAATTTCTTCTTTGGCAGTCCTTTCCCTGAATCCGTTAACATACACTCAGGGACTGTGGAAAGCTAATTTGGTTCTTCCAGCACCCCCGCATCTCTCTTCATTCCCCAGCTCTCTGGTAGATTAGAAGTGAACGAATATGTAGCAAATGTGCAGGAAAAATGGATCTTGGAATTATTGGGAAAGAATATTCTGGAAATAGGTTTCATCACAGTTATCAATGCTACCCTCATACTTATCTTTCCTTTTCTTATTTAGCTCAATTTCTTATGTGATCTATCAAATTCTACACAATAGAATTTGGCACAATATATATACGTATGGAATGTGATAAGAGCTGTAAGCAGTCATGCTTAAGCTACCGACAAGGACAGGGAAAGTCACCTTGCAGGTCTACCTGATGAGCCACCATTGACCAGAAATGGAGAGGCAAAAAGCCATGAGCCTGAGCTCCTCATGGCCTTGTCAAGTGATGACACAGCTGGGTTTCAGCCGACCAGAATCCACCATCATTTTTCTGACAAAGAAACTAGCCCTGAGCTTGACAGCTCCTGCCAGACATATAAAAAGAGCCTGCTAGCTCTGGGCTAGTCTTACTAGTGTTGCCCTTTGTTTGGTGCAGACCCCACTGAGGGCTGTCCCCAGTGTATCATGATCTGACTGTTCAATAAACCTGCTGTGCTGCCTCCTCCTACCTGTGTGCTCAGTGTCTGCTTTGTTACCACGCCAGGGCTCCTTTCCAGAAAACCCATGGAGCAGGGATATGCTGGAAAAGGGGTCACAGTACCTAACACATCTTTGAGTTGTGTCTATTACTCTTAAATAAAACTTGTGATTCAGAGATTCCCTTTGGGAGGTGCTGAAAGATCACATGAGGAATCTAGCAAAGGAAAGACCTTTGGGAATATTGTTATTTTAGTCACATTGAGAAAACTATTAATGTTTCTAGACCTCTAAAAGAAAAAATTGAAAGAAAAAGGTTTTCTTTGAGCTAAAATTAATTTAATAGTGCTTTGTGATGTCCTGTCCCAAGGAAAAATATTGTAAGAACTTACTTCTAAGTGATCTTGTGTAGGGTGTTATGTTTGCTTTAAGAAGGGCAGCACAAGAGAGCAAAATGTTCTACAAGCTGTAGCAGATATTGAAAAATACATTGCAAACAGTCCTGTGCAAGTTCCTCTTGTCCTAATGTGAATGGTGATGAAAAGCTCACACATCTTCCCCTTTCGGCCCCCCCGGTACACGTGCTGTTTACATACACAACAAACAAACAAACAAAAGCCAGTTTCTGGGGATATTTTGGCAAAAGTGAAGTTTTG